TGGGATCCGGTGTAAGAAAAACGCCTTTGCTGTGATTTTTTTTCTGGATTACATTCCTGATTTTTATATGAAGGTTTGTGCTCAGTTTTTTTTTATCCTGAATTTCTGACCTGTCTGTGGAAAATGAGACTTTCTAAACCACAGTGGGCTTGGATTTGTGCACATAACGAGCTATGCCAAGAAAACAGGGCTGTGAATTTAGCATCAGGCAATGGGAATCCTTTTTCTTTGCCATAAATAGGAGCTGGCTCCCTGTTGGGGTCGGGGTTGTGTTTGTGTGTGTGCAGGTGTGGTGTCGGTGTCTGTCTGGGGGAGCTTCTTCCCTGCTCAGCATCTGGCAGCTCCTTCTCTTTGCCTGATTCTTTGCAGACTGGCGAGAATCTGATTTATCCTGGAATCCAGGTCCCTGGGGATCACCTGCCTCTCATTCCAGCCTGATAGCAAGGAGAGCAGATCTCTAGGTATTTGTGTGTATTCCCCCCTGAGAGGTGATGCAGGAAGGCAGGGATGTCTTTATGTAGATTGATGTCTGTAGAGACAGATCACACATTGACTGAAATAATACCTGTTTTCAAACCCTCAGTTTTTATGCATGTTACTTACAGTAAATGTCTAATCTAACTATATATGTTGTTTGTAGTACTGTTAATTAAGATTTTATGCAAGTGCCTGGTGAACTTCCTGTGTTTAATGTTAATTTTCACACTTGATATTAAAGGCTTTTTATATATTTCTGATCCATGCTGAGCTGGACTATGTATATATTTACCTTCAGGCTGATGTGGAGAGCAGATATCAGTGCAGACAAATCCTGGTTGGAGTTTTACATTCCAGAGGTGTGAATGGATTTTGCTGAAAGCCTGTCTATAGGTGGATTTGTGTAGCTGTTTTTCTTTGAACTACATTTATTAAGGACTTCGTGGCTTGGCCCCATTTCTGGGTTAGTCTCAGCAAGTCCAAGATATTTCCTCTTCTAGATTTCATTTGCTGAGTTTAATCTCTTGTGAGATAGAGAAATGTTGAGAAGTTCAGTCAGTAATTCCTTCTGCCTGCATATTGTGTGGAGAAAAGCACCAGGAGAACTCGTTGTGTAATGAAACTGTTGGAATGGGGAAAAGGAAATGGGGTGTTCCCCTCCAGGTTACCCTTGGAAGCACAGGTGAGCTTCACCTTGTCATCTACAGGCCTAGTTCCTTCTCTATTTAAAGATGACAAGCTACTTATAAACCAGAGAAAAAGGCTCCCTCTTCCCCTCTCCCTTTAACCTTCCACGGAAATCTTGTCAAGCTCAACGGGCCTTTTTCCTGTTGGGAAGGAGCAGCAGCTTTAATCAGCTGGTCTTGCTTTCTGCTTCCTTTGCAACTCTCCCGTCAAAAATGCAAACTCACATTTTTGCTGAGGTTGCAAGTGCATTGTGCTTCCTTGTGGTTTGTTGTGAGAACTCAATTCACTGAGGTTTCTGGAAAAAAAAATAAAAATCTAAACTTTCTGTGTCAGTGTTTGATCGCGCGTTAGAAACGGTTCCTGTTTCGTGCAGTCGGGATGTTTGGCTTTTTGATCTCTTTAATGATAAAAGAGGCTGTTGTGGTGTTTCAAGACTTGTGATAGTCAAGCAAAATGCCCTCCCACATGTGGTGAGGAAGCAGGGAGTATGTAAAGCAGGTACCAAAAGGCTCACAGGGCTCCCGAGTAGGGTCACTGCCACTGCCAAGCAGTTACCTGGAATATTGGTGCAACTACCACTAGAGAGGAATAACAAGCCCAGCAGCTTCCTACTCCAGTCATTCTTTGTGCTTTCACCAGAGTAAAATGAAATTTAGAGTAAGTTGACTTCAGTGGGTTATGAGTAGAATAAGATTAAAACATGTCCATCAAGAAAAGGAAAAAACCCAGACATGAACGTGGCTCTCATTAAATGCCTTTGTTTTCATGATTCAAAGATATGAAGGTGAAGGATCATGGCAGCCTCGATGGATTGATGGTTTCAGAGCTGTTACTGAACAACAAGTGAACTATTTTATTTCCTGAAAGAGTGAAAATGGCTCATTTCACTTAATCCAGTGTGTTCTCTTCTGGAAATGTTTGCTCTGATTGTTCTTCCAAAGCCCTGCTCCAGACTCACTCTCTGCTAGTAGCCACCTTCAGAAGCTTCACACTAGAAAAGCTTCCAGTTCAGGGTCCTGCCTTTCTTCCCTTGGTTTCTCCTCTGAAACCAGATACCTGGTTTCCTACTGGGGCGTAGCTGGGAAGGAATGAAAGCTCTTCTCTTTCTGGGGCTGTTTTTTGGGACCTTGACAGCTTTATGTTGCATTTAATCAGCTCCAAAAGTGAGGCCAGGGTTGGATCATTCTTACTCTTCTCACAGGCTGCTGTGCAGCAAAGCTTGGGAGACTTCAGGTTGAATCTTTTCTCTGTGCACTGGATTTGGTGCAAGAGGGAGAAAGGGGGAGCAGTCAGAGGGTTTGGAGCTTGACCTGGCGTGTGAGACTGAGCCCTGATGGTCTGTGCCCCTGCTTGTGTTGAGAGGAGATGATTAATTCTTCAGGGATTTACATGTGAGGTGTTAAAATGATTTTTTTCCCAAAGCTTAAACGAAGTTGTAAAGTAATAAAACTTCCCTTTTTTTTTTTCTTGGGAGATACACAGGTGAGGCACTTGCTCCTATATGTACTTGTCAAAATATTTTGGTAAGGCCTCTCATCTCTGGCCTTGAAGAAATAAAAGTCTCATAAAACAGGAATGTTTTTTTTCATAGATTTAATGCGGGTTAAGAGACAGGAAACGGGGTTAGGAGTAAATGGTTGGTTCTCACAGGGAAGGGCTGTTCCCAGCCAAGTGTCCTGCTAAAGATCAGTGCTCTTGCAAAGATTCCCTTTTCCAGATTGTTCCTAAATAAGGTGGGCAAATGGAAGCAAATCGCTCAGATTTGAAATGAATTTGAATTGAAAAGAAGGATGAAAGGTTGAGACCTGCTGAGGGATAAAGTGGCAGATGAAAAAATGCACAGGGAGAAGAAACGACCCCGGGTTCATCCGCAGGAGCAGAGACACAATTCCCAAAAGGCACATGGACTTTACACAGAGATTTGTGTTGGAGGATTTTAGCCTTGATGGACTTGTTATCTTGTTTTCTAGTCCTCCTGGGTTTGATTTTTCATGTTATTTACTGCTTTTCTGGTTGGATGACAAGCTCAGTCCTTGTGGGGGGTTGGATTCTTCTGCTCTGGGATCTGTATAACCATTGGAATTGTGTTTGTGATGTGCCTGGCACTTGGATCCTCTGCTGGCTCCACTTTTACCAGCTGAAGAAGTTCCTACCTGCAGCCTGCTCCTAGTTCTGTGTGACCATCCAGATGCCCCTGGATCCCTGGTTTCTGCTTTGGCTGTGAACTTGCCTTACCCATTATTGACATAAAGAAATGGTTTAGGATAAATAAGATATGTATTGTGGGCTTTTTAAAATTAATTTTTTTATTTTTTCTTACTGTTGCCCTGCCTTTTGCAAGTTGTGCATTAGAGAGTCATCACAGGGGCAAGTGATAATTTGGGCAATGTTAACTTTCTAAATGCCATGTTTATGTATGTTTATAGTGCACAAACTTGTAAATGCCCCAGAAGATGCCCCTTTTTATTCCTGTTGACATCAACCATCTGCCAACACATCAACACTCTCCTACAGCTGGTTCCAAATACTGGGGGAAACACCATTTACCTGAAGTTTAGTGTTGATCTCATTTAAAGTTCGTCTTCCATCATGTCATAGGAGTTTTTAATCTGCCAAAAATTAACCTTAGTGGAACGAGATAAAATACAGTAACTCACTGGAGTTGTTCTGTGGTGGTTTAACTTGCCCAGAATGGTTTTCTGGGAAGGGAATATGTCTTTATGCTGAAATAAATCCTCTAGAGCTGCTGTGACACTGAATTCTGCTCGCATTCCAAATGGCACCGTCGTCATTTGAAGAACGATAACAATTCCAGGCTTGAAATCTGTGCTTCCCTTCTCTCCAGTGTCTTTGTAAAGGGATAGGGTTGGTTTTTTGGAGTGTTTGGAGAAACATTAGAGGACATCTGGAATGGGCAGCTCTGTTCATGTGAGTTTGGTTGCTGAGTCCTTGCTCAGTGTTGTGCAACTGGTGAATATCAGGGGCTGTTCTGTGTTAATGGAACAGCAAAATCTGCCAGTTTGCTCAAGTAATTTATTCTAAAGCTTAATAGGCCTCTGTTTACTTGAAACAGTGACCTTAACTGAAGAACTGACACAGCTTTCCAGCTCCAGAGCTTGTCCTTGAGTTTTCTTGCCAATCATTTTGGCTTTACAGTTCCATTCTCAAATAATTAAAAATCCTTCTGTGCTGTGAGCAGAAACACAGAGCAGAAAGTGTGGGTCTGACGAGTGTTGTCAAATGTGCAAAATAAATGCATTTGGGGAAAAAAAATTCCCTTCTAATCTGCTTATCATCAAAGGTCACCTTGAGTTGGAATGTGTCATTTTGGGGCTCAGGTCTCTTCCCTGGGCCTCAGGATCTCTGAGTGGGCTTTAAACTTACCTGGGGTTTCAGAAATGGTTGATTTTTAGGAAGTTTGCTCATTCCCTTGGTTCAGATTCCTACAGGAATGGGAGCAGTTGTCAGTGTTAGAGAGAAGCTGCTAAACACGGAATTTCTGATGTGGTTTGATCTCAGCTCTGTGAGCACTGTAATTAAAAATTCTAGGTTTTTACTTTGGAAGCTAAACCTGTAATTTCTTGGACTTTGGTTTGATTTTAAAATTTTGCTGTTCCGTCAGCACGGTCGTTTTCTTCCTTTTGTTTTGCTCCGTGCTTCAGGTTTTTAATCTTAGATGTTTAATGTTACTCATGAGAAGAGCAAGTTGTTTTCAAAATGAGAAGAAATTCGGGGAGAAAATTCATCAGTTTGCTCTAGGAAATTTGTCCCAAGTGGATGCAGATTGTTGGCTGTGCAGGAACACTGATGTGCTTTGTTTTCTTTCCCTCACTCAGGTCGTGATTTTCATTTTCTCGTGTCATTCTCTTGAAGAGAGGAAATGGTTGTAGTGGAATGTGTTACAAATAAGCCACTGATACGGAGCCTTTGCAGTTCAGAAACGTTCATAGAGGAGCAAATTTAGCCCTTTTCTGTTTGTGTTCTGCAACCTGCCCGGGCAAAAAAGGGAACTAAAAATGACGACTTCGTCTATCAGACGGCAGATGAAGAACATTGTGAACAATTACTCAGAGGCCGAAATAAAAGTTCGGGAAGCGACCTCTAATGATCCCTGGGGTCCTTCCAGTTCGTTAATGACTGAAATAGCAGATCTGACTTACAACGTTGTGGCCTTTTCTGAAATTATGAGCATGATCTGGAAACGGCTCAACGACCACGGCAAGAACTGGCGACACGTGTACAAGGCCCTGACGCTCTTAGATTACCTGATCAAAACCGGCTCCGAGAGGGTGGCCCAGCAGTGTAAGGAGAATATTTTTGCCATCCAGACGTTGAAAGATTTCCAGTACATCGATCGAGACGGCAAAGACCAGGGCATCAACGTGAGGGAGAAGTCCAAGCAGCTGGTGTCGCTCCTGAAGGACGACGAGCGACTCAAGACGGAGAGGGCCCAGGCCCTGAAGACCAAAGAACGCATGGCCCAGGTGGCCACTGGGGTGGGCAGCAACCAGATCACCTTTGGCCGAGGCTCCAGTCAGCCCAACCTGTCCACCAGCTACTCAGAGCAGGAGTATGGAAAGTCTGGAGGATCCCCAGCGTCTTACCATGGCTGTAAGTACAGGCAAACACACGGGAGAAGTTTCCTCTTCCTTTTCTTTTGAGAGATTTTGCATCCAGATTTGCTGTTGGAGGTGAGGGTGAACCTGAGGTAGCTCAGTTGGTGGGAACATGGTGCCAGTAACACCAAAGTTGGTGTTCAGCTTTGGGTTCAGTCCCTTTATGGGATTCACTTGAGTTGGACTCAGTGATCCGTGTGGGTCCCTTCCAGCTCAGAATGTTCTGTGGTTCTGGTTGTGCTGCCTTTGTGGATCTGCTCCATGGCATTAATGTCTCCTCCACTGCCTGGTTAAATGTTTGGTTTGGAGGGGATGTGTGTGTTGACTTCATTTCAGAAGCAGTTGTTCTCTGGCAGTTCCCAAAGGCAGCATTGTCAGGCTGCTTTTGGGAACGTGCTCCGGTGTTTGATGTGGTGGGAGATTGGGAATGGATTTTTCCTGTTTTTTTCCTTGGAAATTCGTTCTTTTTGTTAAGTATAATTCATGGAATCATAGAATGATTGGGGTGGAAGGACCTTAAAGCTCATCTTGTTCCACCCCCTGCCATGGGCAGGGCCACCTCCCACTAGCCCAGGTTGCTCCAAGCACTGTCCAACCTGGTCTTGAATTCAAGAAAAAAATTAGAAATACAGAATATTTCCTGGATGATTTTGCTACTTTATGCTGCTGCTATTGTACTTTGGCAAGAGTGCTGCTGTTTAATTTCCTTTATTGCTTACTCAGCAGTTCTTGGAGTAGTAATGCTTTGAATTTGTCTGTATTTAAATATTTATACTCTCTGTCTTTGGTGTGTAAGTATCTCTACTAAATACTATATTTCATTCTTAAAAAATTAATACAATGATGTGGGAAGAACAAATTCTTTCTGCCACTGCTTGGGGGGAACTCCCTGTCATGTCAGGAAGAGGCCTGATTTGGCACTAAATCCTCCTTAATGTAAGTAATGATCTGATGAAAGCTGCTTTGGCTGGAATGTCAGTGGTTGTGGTCTAATTCTGAAGGAAAATCTTGTCTTTAAATGAATGTTTAGGGTGTGTGGAGGGCTGTAACCCAGCCAGGGTGGAGAATCCACTGAGCACCAGTTCTAGGAATCTGAAGTTTGTCATGTCCTGGGTCCCAAAGTGCTGCTCAAATCATAAATATGTGAGTGTGCAAACACTTCGTGGGGAAGGCAGGAGGAGGTGGCAGGAAAATCAAACTAAATCTGTCCATTTAAATCCATGGAGATGAGCAGGAAAAATTATTTCCCAAAAAAAGTATTTTGCAAATAATGTGCATGAAGGTTTTCAGGGATGAGATTTTTTAAAATCTTTTAATTAGGAGTTGGAAAACAGACCTCTTAGTTTTTGTGTAATAACCATATTTCTGTGTGTTCATATTTTCTATATGTACATAGGTTTTTTATAATAACCACACTAGAGCATTGTTTCAGTGTGACTTTTTAAAGCACATCACATATATTGTTACCACAACAATAACATTTTTTTTTCTTTTGAAGTCTGTGGATCACTGGTGACTACAGCAAAAATTCTTAATTTAGGATATAGCTTGAAATACTGTTTTTAACTTGGGCTGATGGACTAAATAATAGTGGCTGAGTTATGCTGAGCACACCTTGGGTTCCACAGGGTTATTGTTTCACCAGCTCCTGCCTCTAATTAGTGCCTGGAACTATTGTTTGGCATGTTAAATGCTACCAGAGGCTCCAAACTATTCCTCCCGGCAGGGTTGAGCAATGCAGGGTGTGTTCCTGAATTGTTCCTTGGGAGAAGCAGCAAGTTTGGCTCTTCTTTCACTCCAAAGTGTGGATTTAGTGGATGCTCCCATTTCCCTCTGTGTGTCTCCCGTGGCAGGATTGCTTTTGAGGTAATGATTTCTTAAGCTTTTCTTCCTCCTCCCCCCCTGAGCACAGACCTAAGAAGCTTTAGAAATCTCAGGCTTTTTTTTTTTTTTCTTCCTGGGTTGTGGCCTCTCCTGGACTTCTCACAGTGGATCAGCCCAAATACAGATGGCTGTCGGTTTTTATGTTTTGAAGTTTTAATGTGTTTTTGTCAGGTTTAACTGAGCATAGCAAAGCAAACCAGCACCTTTCAGAACAGCTGGGCTTCAATACTTCTGATATTGGAAAATCTTTAGATTTTAGAAAATCTGATATTGGAAAAAAACAGCTTTATCCCAGGAAACGAGGAAGGAGTTTCACTAAAATCCAGACATTTAATCTGTTACATAAATGTAGGGTCATTCCCGTGCCTTCTAAATTTGATGGAAAAGATGCTTTTCATTATTTAAAGTGAAAGAGATTGTATGCATCCTGTTTTATTTTTTTAAATGCTAACCTCCTTTTGTTCTGAAAAGATGGATTCAGTGAAATATGTGAAAGGAATTAAGTTATGCTTGGCTCCTGGGAAATATTCTCCTTGTAGCAGCTCGAAGATGTGGTTGCTGCACTGTATATTCTGGCAGAATTCTCTTTCATTCCTCTGAGCCTTTGAAGAGGAGATCAGAGACATTTAGATTTGCAATCTATAGCATGAGGTTTGCTTCTTAAAAATGTACATCCCTCCTCTTTGCTAAATATATCACATGTCTTCTTAACAGTCAAATATCAGTAAAGTTTGGGAGAGTTAACAGCCTTTTTGCCAACATCACTAAATGAAATATTTTGTCTCTCAGTGGTTTTGGCATCAGCACATTTTACTTTTGTTCCTCTTTAGTGGGGATTGCAGATTTTGGGAGTGCATTCCCCTTGCTTGAAGAGATGATGTCGGGATATAAAATCTCATTTTTGATGCTTTCTTGCAGAAGAAATGAAGGCTGAGCCGGCTGAAAGAGCTGGGTAGTTCCTCCAGGACAGATCACTGGGGGAACAATAACTTGCAGTGGATACTGTGCTGGATTGTGCCTGAGGGATCTCTTTCCTTTCTGTCACTTCCTAAAAGTGCAATATTGGATAAGTCAGTGACCCCTTTTTGCTTTGGTTTGCTCAGAATGTTGAATGAGCTGCACTGCACAGACTGAACACTGCAGTGCTCACACTCCTGCTCTTCCCAGACTCTTAACACCTGTGGGTTTGGATCCAACAGTTGGATTTTGTACTTGATGTTGAGCCAGAAAGGGTTTTCTTAAAGACTTGCTGGTCATCGTGTCCCAAATTTATCATTTATGAAAAAATAAAAGCATTACTTCCAGCCTGTGCAGTGTGGGAGAGTTCAAGATGGAAAAGGATCTCTTGACTGTTGAACAATCATCCCTCACTGCTGCAGGCAAGACTTGGCAAATAAGGACATTTCTCCCCATTTCCTTGTGGATATTTTCATCTCATCTCTAACAGTCCTTTAGAAACTGTGCAAAGTGAAATGGGGAAACGTGAGAGTTTTTAATAAGATCCTTTCCCCCAAAGCTTTGCCTTAATGACTTGGTTGGCCCTGAAGATCTCAGTGCTTGGGTAATTCCAGGGAGTACCTTATGGTGTGTGAATGTGAAAGTATTAGTATATTTTTGCTATTTAGTCTCATAACCTGGAGGTGGAAGCCAAGAGAGATACTAAAGCAAAAAGCAGAAATAAATCTCTTCCCAACCTCCATCTTGTCAACCAACATCCTGGGAACAATTGGTTTTATTTTCCAGTTGGCAATTAATGTTCAGATTAGGAGCTATTAAATATTCCATGACAATATGCATAATAGTTCTTTATTATTTTGGAAAACGTGTAAATTCTCTGGAATTGCAGGAAATCTGATGTCAGGTTTTATTTCACTGTGGAGGATTGTTCTTGTGTGGTGCTGAACCCAAACCTACTGGGGAGAGGAAGGAATATGAGGTGGATATCTGAAATCTTTTGGAGGAGAATTTCTTCGTGTCTAAAAAATTGTCTTTATGTTGGACATCAGTCGCCCGGTTTTGAAAACTTCAACCTCCTGCTCCTGGCCTTGTTTCATCTACAGCTGCCAGTGACCACTTAAATAGGATTCTGGATTTATGGCTGCACAGGGAAAAGTAGGGTGTTCTTAATATAGACCTCTTAAGCCTGAACTGGGGTGGTGTTCCAAGCCTGAGAAGTGCTGGTTGTGTTTTAAACCCAAGTTTACTGAGGCCTTACTGCTTTTTCAGAGATCCAATCCTGTCATGCCCAAGCCAGGATGTCCCTGTGATATTTTGGGTTGTCCACACCCCCTCCCCTTTGTCCATGTGCTCCCGTGGGTTTGGGAGGCAGAGCCAGGCTGGGGTGGCTTTAATGCCCTGATTTCATTGACACAAATGTGTGACCTGCTTTCAGAGCAGCACTGCCCCGAGGTGGGCTCAGCTCAGCTAAGCTCAGCTCACATCCATTATGCAAACAGCCTATTTGAGAAAAGATTGGTGAAAGATGGGCTGAAAAGGGCTTTTATGGATCTTGGGAAATGCCAAGTCTGTTAACCTTTCCTGTAAAGATTCTGGGAGCAATTTTCTTCAGGTGAATTAATGAGTTTTTAATGTTTCCAGTGATTATTGATATTAAGTTGACTCATTATTTAAAAGCAGTTTTGTGAAGCCTCTGCAAGGTTATGTTCTCTCATCTATTTCAGCTTTCTCTCCACTTTTATTTGGAGTAGAAAGTAAATCAGAGGAATTGCTGTTTGGGGTTTGACATGATAGGAAATTCATAGAATCCCAGAATGGTTTGGGGAAGGGACCTTAAAGCTCATCCAGTTCCAGCCCTCTGCCATGGGAAGGGCACCTTCTACTATCCCAGGTTAATCCAACCTGGCCTTGGACACTTCCAGGGATGGGGCAGCCACAGCTTCTCTGGGCATCCTGTGCCATTCAGGTTTCAGAATGCTCCTGTTTTTAAAGTTGGATTTTTTTTTTAATTTATTTAATAATTAGCAGGTTTTTAACAATTTGCAGGTTGGAACACGTCTCTGCCCTTCCATCTTAGTCAGGGAATATATGACTTATCATCCAACAATGAATCTGGATGAACAGTTTGGATAATTCCCGTAGTTTGAGGTGTCGAAGGAATGTGGCAGACTCCTGTCAGACATCACTTGACAACTTGATTAAATTCTCTCATCTTACATCTCTTTTTCTGGTGAAGGTGGGAAGTGCCATTGGTGTATCCAGGCTTCTGTAGTGGCACTAAATTATCCAACTGTGTCTGTTCAGCTGGATGTAGGGATCACCTGGGAGGAAAATGCTCCTAAAACCAAAACAAACCTCAAGGATTTGTTCAGGGTTAAATGAATTTCAGAAGTGCTCTGTGTGCTCAGTACAGTTAAATCCTGCAGGAAGGTTGAGCAGCTCCACCTTGTCACATTCAGAGGTGTTATTAACTCTCCTCTTGTGTCTGAAAGATTCTTTAATTCCCAGTGGAAAGGTGGATTACACAACTCCTCCTAGATTAAGCAGTTTGCTCATGCCTTTCCATCATTTGAGAGGCTAGATTGGCTTTTTGAACATATCCCATCTTTATTGGAGTGGTCTTTCATTGGAAGACTAACAAATGGGATCCCTGCTTGGTTCCCAAGGGAATTTCTGTCGGTTTCTGAGTTCTTACCTTGATATTAATCTCATTTTTCAAGTCAGCCTTGGTTTTGTCTACATTTGTGGGTGCACTGATTGAGGGAGGAAGCAGCTTTTCTTTCTGAACAGATGTGACTGAGAAGTGAAGTCTGTTCTTCAGAATTCCACCTGCAAATCAGAAAAAGAAAAATCCCAGGAATAACGAAACCAACCCCAAAACCCAAGCACAGCCTTCTGAATGGAAGTGCACAGTCTGACTGGTGTGCTGGGAGTGATTTTTGTCACTAATGCAGGCAGTGACTCTGCTTTCCGTGTCCTGTGTATTCACTTCAGCTCAGCCAGATCTATCGACATCTACAGAGGGCTTTTGATATTGCCAAAATATGGGAAATTATCAATAGATGTGTCTGAAAGACGTCAGAGCCTGGCCTGGGGACAGATGGTGGAGCAGAATCCTGCTTTAGTGATTAACTGAGGTTGGAGATGATTCCCTTGCCGAGCAGCCCTGTGGGAGCAGATTCCCACCAATTTGCTTCTGGGCAGCCTGGAGGGACTGGGATCTCCAAATTCCCAACAAAGCAGGGCTTAGCAGGTCAGAATTGATCTATTGAGTCCTATCTTACATAAACATCTGAGTTAACTGTCATGTGCTGGGGGATAAGGGATGCTTTGTGTGGCAGCGATCCTGTTACTAAGGCAATAACCTTTCTGCTGGATCCTGGGAATTCAAACCTTAATGCAGGATGAGGCCCAGATAGGAGTGAAGTTGCTGCATAAAGCATGTCAGGTTACTCCCAGGAACAGTGTTTTGAATATTCCTTAATCCTTTCTCAAACAATTTGCTGGCAGCTCTTTAATGTAGGTGGTTTTATAACACTGCAGAGGTTTAAATGTAAAATAGCAACATTCCTATAGTTTCATTTTTTTTTTTAAATGAGGCCCAAGGAAGAATTTCAAATGGGCATTTTTCCTTTTTTTTTTTTTGGAAGTGCCTTTTAGAGTTAATGAAACCAAGTAGAATGAATTGCTGGAAAAGCCTGAAAGTGAAAAGAAATAATTTATATCCGTGAGACACCGCGTTATCCACGTTCAGATCCTGGAGCTGCTGATGTTGGGCTCTGCTGGGAGCTGTGAGCTCATGGAGCTCCCTGCCAAAGCAATCCAGCCCTTCCTGTGCAGGGCTGGGAGGTGAGGACCCCCCAGGGGAGGGCCAGTGGGATGCAATTCCCGCTCCTTGCAGCTTTTCCGGGCAGAAGGGCCGTGAGCTGCTAAAAGCTGTGACGGGTGAGTGTGTTCAGCAAGTCCTTCCCGTGGAAACGGCAGGAAAATCAACGGGATGAACCCGTTCCACATCATTTTAAAGCCGTTGTACCATCAGCTTCTGAGTTGTTATGGAATGTAGTAACATCAACAGGGATGGAAAAGCTGATTTGCAGGAAGTGCAGGAAATCCCATTTCCCCCCACAATTGCAGTTGAAAAACTGGAAGACCAGGAGGTGCCTCCTTGCTCATGGTCCAGGTCCATCTGCTCTCAGGTGACTCTGTTGGTGTCCCATTTGTCCCACACTTATCCAGCTCTGGTTTTAAACTATTTACAACTCTTTCCTTCTCTATTCCCTGCTGGAAAACTGCTCTTCTCTACTTGTCTCTTAAATCTATTCATGGTCAATTTGTACCATTAGTTCTTGCCCCTTTATCTTAAATAGCTTTTCTGGCTCTGTGGTGTTTGCAAACCTGATATGTTTAACAACCATAAACTGCTCAATCTTCTTTTTGCAAAGATAAACACATAAAACATTCTCCATGCTCTGAGGGGAAGTGTTTCCACCTCCATTCTGGTTTTGAAATCACCCGTCTTGGATTTGAGTGACCAGAACTAGTGCTCATGTTCAACCTCTGTTGGCTGGGAATTATCACCTGCTTTAGTTATATTGTTTTTAATAGTCCATATAATATATTAGAGAGCCTGGCTGTGACTGTTGGAGCAAACAGGCTAAATTTAGTTATTTCATTTGAAAAAGGAATAGAATTGAGGGATGAGTAACATCTCTGTTGCAGTAAGGAGCTTGTCTGGTTGGCTTGAGAGCCTCAGGATCAGCACAACATGGAGGGATCGTTCTGGGGGATAAATTAATGTGTCCCTTTAGGAACAGAGTGGGGTGGGATGGAAAGGTCATTCCTTTTTTAGGGAGAGTCACCTGCCTTGAGGCCTGTTGGAGGAGAGAGGAAGGTGCACTTCTTGTTTTGAAATGTCATCTTTGAGAGACAAGACTGGGAAGTGTTTGGAGGATTAAAGTAGTGATGAAAAAGTGCTTTTTAAACATACTTTGGCAATCTCAAACATGCCCAGCTGGCCTGCTAAGAAGAAACTCGATTTCTTAGACCTTGCCATGCTAGTTTAAAAACATGATTACTCTGTATTAAATGTTAATGTATATTTTGCCAAACTAATTATTATTCCAGCCATTAACTACAAACTTCCTTGCCAAACTGAGATAAAATTTCTGTGTGAATGATTTGATGCTAGAGAATTATTTGTGAGAGTGAGCACAAAAAAATGTTTAGTTACTGTCTAGTGCTAAACCTACTAGTGTTGTCCCATTGGGATGGGAATTTCTGCATGTTGCTGTCGTGAAAACATCAAGAAAAGATGGTTTGCATGTTGAGAAATTGCACATTTTAGCTGTCAAGCTCGAGTGTTGCTCGCGGAGTGGGGGAGATCACAACTAGAGCTCAGCTAATGGAAATCTTCATCCAAAAAAAGACCAACCAACACCAAAACCCAAACAACGCCCCCAACCCATAGACCAAACTCTTTTTTAACAGAGAATGATACAGTATTTGTGTAAATTTGGGGTATGAAAGGCTGGCTTGTTTGTCCCTGAGCCTGCTCAGCAGTTAAGAATAGTTCTTTATCTTCCCATTAGGACTGTATTATTTTACAGAAAAGTGGGTGGTATCCAGTTTTACCCCGAGATTGGCCAACTCCCAGCAAATCCTTAGTGACATTGGGAGATGTGAGAAATATCAACAAATGTTTTCTTGAACAATTAATTCTCTGCATTTTGAAGTCGGTGTCCTACCCCCAAAGTTCTCAGGGGTGAAAACAGGGGCAGGGGGGATCCGGTCAGAGCAAGAATCAAACGCGCCACATGTTTGTTGTTGTTTGATGTATTTGATGTGCTAAACGTGGTGGGTTTTGTCTCCCAACAGCGACGTCCCCTCGAGTTTCCTCGGAGCTCGAGCAGGCCCGGCCTCAGACGAGCGGGGAGGAGGAGCTGCAGCTGCAGCTGGCGCTGGCCATGAGCCGGGAGGTGGCGGAGCAGGTCGGTGCCCGTGTAGGTTTTGCCTTTGATAGTTGAGATTGCAATCCTGGTTTGGTTTTTTTGTGTTGTTTTTTTTTTTTTCCAGTGGCAGCTTGGCTTTGCTCCAGGTGGAAAGGCCATTTTGGAAGATATTGCTCTTGGTTTTTTTTATTTTTGTTTTTGTTTTTTGTTTAATTATTATTTTTGTGGGTGTTTTTTTTTTTTTAAATCTCTTTTTTTAAAGTAACTCCAGCCTCCGAGCTGTTGAGACTAGTGGAAGATGACAGTCACTTTGCGAGAAGACTTTGTGTGGGAGGATGTTAATCAGCACATTACTGAAGATGTTTTCAGCTAATCGTGCTTCCAGCTCTTCCTGGTCCTGAAAACCTTCATTAATGTCAGTGAATTCTGATTCCAGTGGAATTTTGAATGGTCTGGTTGTTTGGTAAGAGTGTCTGGAACAAGAGGGTGACCTGACACAAAGTACCAGAATATATAAAGAACCTGGTTTAAAGCAACTTGATTCCTAATCTGTCACCTGAGTTATGTTGCTGTGCTAATTCTTAAGAAGTTCATTTTGAATTTGGAGTAAATGATGGATAAATAATTGTGGATAAAGTTTGCTGCATGTTAATATATAACGAAGTTGAATCTCACCTATGAGTGAAAATTCAAGTCAGCCCTGCTGAGTGAAATATTTTAGAGGTTTTCTGTGACAATTTAGCTTAAGCTGCATGTTAAGCATTAGTATCTCTGTGCTTGGAAAGGAAAACTATAACCCAGTAAACTTTATCATTATTGAGCAATAAAGGGAAAGAAAATATAAATCAGAACCTAATCAGTTGAAGTAGCTTGAAAAATGACAAGGGAAATACCAGCTGGGGGATTAGTCAACTTCTGAAAGATGTGATGCAAGCAAAGACATTTAAAGTATTTGAATGTACCACAAACATTGTAGTTTACAGATGTTTAAACCTTCAAATTACAGGGAGTTGGCTCAACTGATTCCCTTGGTGTTCTTTATAACACTTGTATCAGTGTGGAGGGAAGCTGAGAAAAGCCAGGGAAATTACAGTTTAGTTCCCTACAACCTTCAGTGGTTCCAAATCATGGTGAGAATTTAAAAACAGGCCCTTTACTCGAAGTTCTGTGGTGTTTCTACCTAGAAACTGAATTTTGGAAAGAATGTTACATTTATATTCCCATCAGGAATAAAACAACACGAGGGTAAATGTCAATCAGCAAACTGGATTGTGATGACACCGCTGGTGTTCCAGGGTCGGGGTGCTCCTGACCTCTGGTTGAGGAAAGAACCACAAGAAAATTCCTCTCCCTCTCTCAGTTATGTCCAAATTCTAGCAAATAATCCCACCAGCGGTGGCAGGGAGGGCTGGCCAGGCCTTTCCTGGTGGTGTCCTGCCCAGGGGTTGGATTCCTGGAGGGAGCAGCAGCCCAGTGCAGGCTCATGGTCTATATCACCAGTGTTGATTTCCTTTGCAGGAGGAGCGCCTCAGACGCGGAGATGATCTGAGATTACAGATGGCTCTGGAGGAGAGTCGCAGAGACACAATTAAAATTCCCAAAAAGAAGGAGGTAGTGCCTTCGACTAAGAAACTCCCGGTTATGCTGCCAAAAGCTGAAATACAGTAACACAAAATAGCTTAATACTGAGCTCTTTTATGCTTTTGGGATTGCTTTGTTGTGTAGCTTAAAGCTTCTTCCGTGTGGGTTAAATTTCGAACTACTAGTCAATGCAGGTGTGTAAAAGGAAAAAAAAAATAATAATAATTGCTTCTTCACTCTCACGGGTTTGTACTTCGGAGTGACAATGCTCTTGATTAAAGCTCAGATTATTCCTGCCCTCAGCACACCACTTTGTTGGACCTGATGGATGCCCTGCCCTCCTCGGCGCCGGCCCCGCCAAAAACGGAGCCGTGGGGACCTCCCGCTGTTGCAAACCAAACTGATCCCTGGGGAGGATCCACAGTTGCAGCTCCTGCCTCTGACCCGTGGCAATCATTTGGTAAGAAGAAAACTGCCAGGAGGAATGTTATTTAAAGGGTTTTGCTTTTTGATGTTGAGCTTTTCAAAGTTCCTCCATGTCCGGTGTCACGCTCGTGTATTAGTCCATCTTGATTGGTTCCCGTACTCTAGAACTGACATTCCCCAACTCATTTCCAAGCAGAAACAAATGGAAATTTCACTCTTCTTAAACAGCTGGGTTTTTGTGTGTGCATTCTATCCGTTGTCCTTCAGGCTGGTGGTTCTACAACCTCTTCTTTAAAGTCATTTACATCAGCATTCAACACACCACCAACAGGTTCCTGATGAAAATGTTGAAGTTTAATAATGAAATGCCTTGTTTGGGGTTTTTTCCCCTCCTCATGGTGGCATTTAAGGCACCTACAAAGCTGCTGGGCCAGCTGCAGGTCATCGTTCTAAGTGTCATCTGTTTCTCCTTTGGTGACAGGAAATCAGAAGAAGCCCAAGTTTTGGGCCCTGAGGCTATTTAGTGTATTTTTCCATGGTTAAAAACAAACAAAATCCGACTTTCTTCAATTCTCCTGCTTGATCTGTCACCCTCTGACAGGATTTTCCTTGCATCAGTTTTGGCTGGAGTGTTTTTTGTCAGTGCCTCCCAGCTTTATTCCACCACAGCACAACCCCTTACTCCAGCTTGCTGGTTTCTTGGCTCCCAAGGATAGTCCTGAAGGTATAAGATTTAGGAGTTTTCTGATAAAAAGAGTGACTCATTAAACTGTATTTCTCGAGTCCTGCATGTGCTGTGGTGTTCTAGTGGAGCTGATGGAAGCCCCGGGAAGGGATCTTCCCAAACACTCTCATTTCCTGCGCTCCCTTTATGAAGGAAAAGATGTTTTGGGAAGCTTCAGTTGATTGGAAATGCTGTCATTAGCATTTCTGGTGGGGCATTGCTGTAACTCAGCACTGAGGACAGATAAAGGAAATGTAAGTACCGGTGTGGGAATAGTTTGGCTTCCTTGGAGAGTTCTGGCATTTCCTGGTGTGGAGCTGCAGCGAGACCATGGGCCTGGAGATGAAAGAAAAACCAGCAAATTGGGATTTGTGCCATTTTGTGCAGCACTGAATTGGTTTATGAGAATATTGTGATGCCAAGGGTGGTTGTTATGTAGTTTTGAAAATTCAAAATAATTCTCAGTTGTCACTTGAAAGCCACTTGGTGGCTGATGATAATGGTTGTGCACGTGGGGCTGATCCTGAACTGCTCTGGGTTACACAGTCCTCAGTTAGGAATTAAACCATTCCTGCCGAGAAAGTTCATAGGGAAGAGGAAATGTTTGCATGTCCTGCCTGGTTTGGAGGTAGTTGATGGCTGTACAGTTGTACAGGATGTGCCTGGGAAGTACTGGGCTCCCATTCCTGGTGCTCCAGGAGGGGGATGGATGTCAGGCCTGAGCAAGAATGACCTTCCAGCACCCACCTGGCCCACTGCAAAAGAGACATGGGATTTACCTCAGTATTCCTGGGGTTTAATAACTTAAAATATTGGTAGAAACAAGAACAGAATTGCTTTGCTGAAAAGCAATAAATTAGGTTGGGGAGGAAGAAGAAAAACCTGGCAGGAAATTGTAAATGATGAGGGGAGTTTCCTTCTCTTTCCTTCTCCCTTTGTTTGGCCTTAAATTTCCCCTTTACCCTCGTGCACAACCCGAAGCAGTTTGGACATTGAATTTGTGCGAATGAAGGGTTGTCACAAATTTCCAATAAAAACAAGAATCCTGAACATACAGGCTTTGGGTTAAAAGAAAATAATAAGGGATATCAGTGGGAAGCTCAGATTTGTGTCAGGAGTGCTTACACACAGGAATAAAAAGCACAGCTGGCTCAGGGAAGCTGATTATGTTTTTAAAAAATAACAGTATGGTTAAAAGAGTTGGAAAATATCTTAGTTGTCTTTCTCCAAGTGTTAGTGTTTGGTATCTCATACCTTTTACCTCTGGGCTTTTTATAAACTTACTTTTCCCTGAGTTCATAAATAGACCCTGTGATTTAGGTCACCTCCAGTCAGGTATTGTCAGTTGTGGTGGCAAAGTCTGTAACAAAAGCATGTTTATTTTCTTGTTGGAACTGCAGATATTTTTATTCAGTTTGAAAGGGGGGGATTTGTTTATTCATCTGCCTTGCACAGAATTTCCTGGCGCTTGTTGTTCAGGGCATGTGACATTGATGCTGAGAGTTATCAGTGTTCCTGGTGCTGAACTGCTTCACCTGTTTATGTTCAGTGTTAATTGGCAGTAAAGGCACATAAGAGAGGTTAATCTCCCAGGAAAGCTTTCCAAAGTGAAGCTGGACTCACTGGTGTTCCCGCTGACTCTTTTTGCAGGTGCCAAACCAGCTGCTTCCGTTGACCCTTGGGCAGCACCAGCAGGATCCACAGCTCAGCCTCTGTCCAAAAATGACCCTTGGGCTCCTGCTCAGTCATCTTCTACTGCAGCAAAACCTTCTGTGGATCCCTGGGGACCAGCACCTGCAAACAAACCTCTCTCTACTTCTGGTGAGAAACAGCCTCATGTTATTTGAGTAATGAGGAGAGACCCCGATGATGTTCTTGCATTGTGTGGTTCAAAGCAGCTGGGTGCTGAACAATGTGCAGAACTGGTCTGTAAGATAAAAGGGAGTTGTAATAACTAGCAGGAAAAAGAAAATCAAAAGTAATTATTCTGACTTAGAGCTCTGAATTCGTGGTGCTGCTTCGTACTCTGTCCCTTCTACATTCTCCTCTTGGTGTTTGTGGCTGCCTGCTGGGCCCTCGGGACTGCTGCTGCTCTTGGGTTTTATCTTTAATTAGACAAGGACTTAATTTCTGGCAATGAACGATCCTATAATTTAAGCTTTCATCATGATAAACAGCCCTGCAGATGGATGTCTCTGCAGATGTAGATTGACAGGTTGAGCAGCTCCACACTCCGAGGAGACTTCTGGAGGTGCAAATGAAGGTTTGTTCCTTCAGACTGAGGGTGTGAAGTGATCCCTGAGCCCTGGGTACCAAGGTGCTGATGTAATTGTCTGTTCATGCTCTGTAACTAATGCAACCTTGATGAGTCTTAATACCTGCTATTTTCATATCAGCACCGTGGCTAAAAGCATCCCAAATGCATTTTCTGCCAGTCCTTCATCCCGGTACATAACAAACAAAGGAATCTGAGTACTACTAAAAGTTGTCTAATCAGCTTTCCACTGGGCAAAGGGCAATAATTGGATCATTGTGAGAATGAGTCTTTAACTTTGTTTTTCTTAAGCGTTGTTTTTATACTCAATCATCACTTGTTCTCTCTGGGTTTTGTCTTTTTGTGCTCTTTTTGGACCTTCATATTTGCTTGAAATGTGTTAAAGGTGAAAACTAAGTTAGAAAAACATTTCAACTAATTAAAAAAAAAACGCCACACGAACTTTAAAGCTTTTCAGGAGTGTGATTGCTGGTCATTTGGGTTTGGGTTGCTGCCTCCATTCTGAGGTAAGAGTGTGGAATTTTGAAATGGTGATGTTTTCAGTGGTTGTGAACTCTGGGCAAGTGCTGGTGCTTCAGCTAACGGGGCTTTGCCATCTCAGCAACCTTTGCTATTGCATTTCTCCTCCTTTTCACTTGGGAAGCACAAGTCAAATCATCACTGAAGCTATAACAGTGCTAAATTTGGCTTTGGAACTCTGTTCACAATGTGTTTTACTTGAGGGCTGATTAACACTTGATAGTTCAGACTATAAATCCATTTCTCCTTCTGCAGCAATATCTGCTTTCTCTAGTGCAGACAATCAACCAAACCTCAGCATGCTCAAGGTGTGCCCTACACTGATTGAAAAGCAAACTGCTCTGAATTAGTTGTTTAATTCTGTAAGAAAGAACAATTTTCTGACATTATCCTTCTCCCAGCTCCTGGGTAACTCCAGGACCACTCCAAGTGCTGCCCTGGAACCCAACAGTCTTGGTAACACAAATGGGTTAGGAATTGCTTCCAGGAGGATCAGGTGTGGGATGCAACCGAAGATGTGTTAATGACAGGGCTGTCTTGTTGTTTTGAACAGGAAGTACATCTTTTGACCTCTTCAGTAATTTGAATGGTACAGTTAAAGATGATTTTTCTGAATTTGACACACTTCGAACTTCCAAAAAGCCAGGTACGAATCCAGTTCTTAGCATGTGGACAGGTTGGGTGATAGTCACAGCAACAAATGTCTCTCTTCTTAAATTTGATTAGAAAACAAAAATCAACTTTCACAAAGGGAAGAATTAAAGCTGGTGGTAATGCAGCAGTAAAAGCTTTTTGTTCACGTTTTGGCCTGTGCATGAACTTGTGGGGAATGGGCCTTTTGCACTGTAATCCATAGAATTGCACTGCGTGACCTTTGGCTGCATTGACTCAGAAATTTATTTGGATTTTAAATTCCCACTATCCAACGAGTTTGGAGCAGGGCTTGTGCTCAGAGAGTCAAACAGAACCATGCTGACTGAATTCCTCTCATGTGTAAATTCTAGTAGGAAGATGAGAAAATACACTTCTATGAATGCTCCGATTTATTTTTCCTTTGGTCATTAGTGACTAAATCCAAACTGCCAGACCCTCAGTGTCAGGGCTGTGATACTGTGTGCTCTCAGGATGGTTCTGCCTGAAAGAACAGTGACTAATGCCCAGCTGGGCTTTTTGAACAACAAACCTGGGTGGAATCCAGCTAGGAAGGGCACAGCAGTGGTGTAGGGCAAGGGCAGAAGCCAAGGCTTTTGAGTATCTTTTCCTTGGAGCCTTTGAGTCCCACCTGGAGCAGCAGAGCTGTGGGAATGCTCATCAGGGCAAAGCAGGGAACGCCTTCAGTAGAGCTCTGCACCTCTGACTGCAGCTTTTTCATGCTCTCCTACAGAACATTTGTCTGCTTGCATGCTAAGGGTGTCCCTGACACACTCCAGCCTGACTAATCCCAGCGTTAGAACTAAACATTCCTGCTGTCAGACACTTCAAGGTTCTCTCTGCTTGGCCGTGTGGATTAATGGGAAGTTTTGTTTGTCTCTTTGTGTTGTTTCAGCTGAATCAGGTTCCACTTTGCCATCTCAGCATAGCGGTACCACAAGTCCTGATCTCTTTGATTCCCAGCACTCGAGTGGGACATCAGGAAAACAAAGTGCAGCTCGGAAAACCCCGGAGTCCTTTTTGGGCCCCAATGCTGCTCTGGTGAACCTGGATTCTCTGGTGTCTAAGCCACCACAACCTGTTACTTCACTGAATCCATTCTTGGCACCAGGTCTGTTTCTGCACAACCCTCCACGTTTCTGTTTTAGCTTTCCCTCCCTGTAGGAAAACTGTGCATAACTCAGTCCTGGTGGATTTAAAGGAAGGAGTTTGGGGCTTGTTTTTCTTGGTTGCTTCAGGCAGCAGATCATGGCTGAGAGCAGGAAGGTCTCAGAGAGGCATCCTGGGCTCATCCAGCATAGCGACAGTCCCTGAAAGCACAGACTTTCTGCTCTTTGTCTGCAGCTGAGCTTGGTTCCAGCAGTTTCCCTTCCCCTTTTGCCCTTGCACTCTCCACATTATCTGCCTGCAGCCTGAGAGCAAAATTCAGTGGGTTGCTGATCAGGCTGTCTTCAGGCTGGCACAGTAAACCAGTTCTCATCTGAAAACACATTCTCTGTATATGGAAAAAAAAAAAACAGGCTGTTGCAGTTCTCCTGTAAGCTGGGCTTGTTAGAAGTGAGCCCTTGCTTAGACCAGACTCAAAGGGTGACATTAAACACGTGGAACACGTATTTTTTAAAAGCAGAAACGTGCACTGAAATTTCCGCGTGTTGCTCACATGGTGAAAAACACCTTGAAATTCTCTTTCAGGATGGATTTTCTTCACTCTTCCAGTGGGGGGGGAAAGAAAAAAAAGAGTCAGTTTATTAAAGTCCTTGAGCAGGAAAAAGGCAGTGATTCTGAGCAGCCTTGGCAGTGAGCGCTGAGAGGAAATCTGTGTATCTGCCGTTACCGGTTACTACAAAAAGTTTGTGAGGGGTCACTGGGCCATCCAAATAACGCTGTGCACGGACGGTAAAAGGAATTTGCAGGGTTGGCAGCAATCCAGGGAACCTCAAACGCTGGGAAAGTTATTCTCTGCTTTTTCTAGCACCGCTGCAATTCGGAAACAAGTTGTTTACTTTGTGAATTCTTGTCCAAACTCGGTGCCAGAAACACGAAAATGGAGTTGGCTGGTGAGGTTGTGAGGCAAATGTACAAATCAGAGAAGCACAGAATAGTTGGGAAGGGATCCTAAAGATCATCCAGTTCCACCTCCTGCTGTGAGCAGGGAGACCTTCCACTAGCCCAGGTTGCTCCAACCTGGCCTTGGACACGTCCAGGGATGGGGCAGCCACAGCTTCCCTGGGCAACCTGTGCCAGGGCCTCCCCACCCTCACAGGGAGGAATTTCTTCCCGGTATCCAAACCCTACTCTCTGTCAGTTTAATCTGCAGTAAAGGAGCACAGAGAGCCTGCAGGTCTCTTCCCCAGTGCAAATTTTAAATAGCATTTAAAAACTATAAATTAGAGACCTGGGTGTCATGTTTAGGCATGTTCCAGGTAACCAAATTTGCAACATCTCTCTCTGGTCAGTACTATCAGGAGTGGGAACTGTTGGTCAGGGAAGGGATGTTTTGTGGGATTGATGGGTTCAAGGAAACAGACTGTACTGGTGCACCAGGGAATTTGGTGAGTGGCATCCAGGCAGGTTCTCCCCAGGGTGTTTTGGGTTTGGGAGTGTATGGGAATGAACAAAGGGTACATTCTTGGCCAGAAAAGACGATTTCCAGACCCTGGTGTTGATGTCAGTGCCATCTCTTTCCCTCTTCCCTGCAAACCAGGCGCCGCTACAGCCCCGACTCCAATCAACCCCTTCCAAGTGAATCAGCCTCAGCCGCTCACCCTGAACCAGATGAGAGCGAGTCCCGTGATGGGAACCAGCCCTTCCTTCAGTGCCGTGCCCCCGATGAGCATGGAGCCAATACCTCTGTCTTCCATGGCCCCCGTGCCCGTGGGGATGGCACCGCTCCCGGCGATGGGCACCGTGGCCTCGATCACCAGGATGGGCCAGGGGCTGAGCATTGCAGGATCAATGCCCCAACCTCTCCACAGTACAGGAATCCCGCCGTCAGCCTCCCAGTCTGCAAATACAACTAACCCTTTCCTCCTATAAAGACCCAATTAAAGGAACTTTTCTTTTCCTAGTGTTTCCAGGCTGAAGTCTTTACAGCGGAACGAACGTGGCCTGTGTGGACTGAACGGTGTGTGAGAGACTTGGAAGTAGATTTGCAGTTTACAGTTATGATCTTTGAAGAGTTGTCTCTACTTACCAGTTAATCTAAATCTAGTCTTTGCTACAGATGGTACCTTACTTTGGCTTGTTGAGCATCATGTGAAAATGTTCAGACTTTTCACCAAAGTTAGATTTCTGCCCATTTTGTTACTTTGTTAATCATTTCAATACACTTTCTAGGGAGAGAACCTGCCATTTTAAACTCCGTTGGCTATTTTGTAGATGTCAGATCATGTGCTGGATCCTGAAAATTACTATTTACCTGCATCTGTCACTTCCTATGCCCATATGATAGACCTGAGATTCCGAGTGCTAGTGAATGTTTTGCACATAACTACACACAGTTCTAGACTGTTGGTTCACCCATAGTCCTTACTCTTAGAAAGAGAACGATCCGGAGGGCCCAGGTGGCTGGTTTTTATGCATTAAACATTGCGAACTCGCACTGCTTGTGGTATCTGAGGTGTGACCGAGAAAACAAGCTTGTCTCTAAAGGAAAATAACACAAAAAAACCCCAGACTAAACACCCAAGAACATGCTCGAGTTGTCGATATGCCGTGTGCTGTCGTGCAGTGTTGAATTTGTACACTACTCTAAGGACTCCTGGAACTCTCTGTGAGTGGCTGCACTCGTGCTGAGTGAGTGTCCTGCTCTGTGCTTGTCCAGTACCAGCTTCTTTGGAAGTTTTTTCCATGTGTATTTTGTTTTTATTTGACTTACAATGTGAGTTGAAAGAAAAGGAGAAAAAAAAAAAAAGAAAAGACAAAAAAAGGACAAAAAAAATGAAATACAGTGGGACAATGAATTCAGTTTCACCGGGGCAAGCTTTAAAACTAATTCAGGCTTAACCTTGCTATATGCAGTTACTCTTGTATACTTTTGCACATATTTTGTTTAGTACAGTTTCATATTTGAGTTTGCAGAGTTACCTAATAGTCCTTTTTTTGCTAATTTTTATAATGTGGTTCTTATTTAACTGTCTGGTTTTGATAGATTTATCAAGTCTGGCTGAAAAAATTAAGATATTGGCAAATGTCATTTTTATGGTTTTAATGCCCTCTTATTTATGGTTTTAGCTCTTTGTTTCTGTAAAGAGAGTTTAAAAGGGAAGATTAACACTAAAATATTTACTTTTAAATGAAATATTCATAATGCAAATCAAAAACAAATCCTCGTGACTAATTATTTTTAGAAGAATTGAATTTGAGCGTAACATGATTTAAGACTACATTAAAAAGAAAAAACACTAAAGTCGCCTTTCCCTTGATTTGTTCCCGTTTCCCGACCCCCCCAGACTGGACAGACTTTTAGCCTTGATGGAAAACATCACAAGAGAGGCTGGTGGTGTTTTTTTTTTTTTTCCTCTTGTACTACTTCTTGAGCTGTTAAAAATCCTAATGTACAAACCACGACTCGTTTAATTTTATCGACTAATTTTTCCCGATGGAAGGTGCACTCCAGAGAAAAACCGTTCACTGGGAGCTGAACTGTCCCTTTTTCACTGGCATGTCTGGACTCCTCGGCACCGACCCACGCTCAGGGTTCTGGTGCAGCCCCGGCACAGCGCAGCCGAGCTCTGCTCCCAAATATCCGTGGGCAGGGATGTCCCAGCGCTCGCTCCTGCCTTGAGGGCATCTCTGCATGTATTGATGCATCTTGGTGGCCTTTTCCCTGCTTAGGAGGGGGGGGGAAAACCAGAGAACAAACCACAAAGAAGTGACCAGAGTTGTGTGTTCTGGTGTGCCGGAGCCGTGTGCCGCCGGAAAGGGACTGGGGTCTGTCTCCTGGTGGGAAGGGGAGGCTGAGAGACTATCAAATTTAGGGTACAATCACAGATTTTTAGCTGTGTAGGTCAGTGTAGCTCTGTTAGTGTGCGGAATGCTAAGTGTGTGGATGTTTCTATGCAGATTGTGGGATCCTCTTGGATACTGTGGAGTTGGGCGAGGAGGAGCCCGAATATTCATCTGCTCTCGTTTTTATATAGGAGGAAAGAGAATTACTGTCCACACCCAGTATGTCTTTAAAAACAAAACAAAACCCATTCATGTTGCCTTTCAGAATAAGGAAAAAAGACTTTACTTTTTGTTGTTGTTGAAGTTACTGAGAGGTGTAGACCAGGAAGGGTGTGATTCTTGCAGATGGGGGGGGGAAGTGCTTTCCAGCTGATCTGTGGCAAGATTTATTTTTTCCAGTTTGATTTTCTCAACAGTGGAATCGAGACCACTCGATGTTTTTTTCCCTTAGTGTGTCGCCTGAATTGCAGTTGGATGGGGCACTGTTCAGCCAGAAGTCCTGACCACATCCTGGGTAACTTTTTGGAGGCGAAGGTGGGGTTGAGAGTAAAGCATTTAAAGTGATGAAATGATCTACATGACTTGATAAAACTGTGCTGTGGGCCTGGTAGGGAGCCCTGGCTTTAGTGAAACTGCTGAATGGCCAATTGTTGCTTTAACCAAGTCACTTCTCCAAGAGCTGTGTTCCTTTTAATTGAATACACATTAAATATGGAGAGAGACATTTATGGCACAACAAACCATGACGGGGCTCTCAGAGGAGCCACGGCCCAAATCCTGGTGCTCTAAAGCTTTAGGCTGAGACTAACCAAGCCCAGATCCCAGCCTGGCACAGGGCTTGTGGCAGGAGATGAGTTTAAGAGGAGAAAGGGCTGGTTTGGTAAATCTTGGTTGCTGGGCTGGGCCGTGTCCCCACCTTATGCAGGAGTGGGTGGCACTGAGGGGGGTCCTGCCTGGGTGTGCCCCAAATTGTCCATCTCTTTTTGTGATGATTTAACTCCTCTCCAGGATAATCCTTCCCCCTTCCTTGCCCTCCAGTGTTCCTGCACGGAGGACGTGTGTGTATCCCATCACATCCGCTCTGCCCTATTTCTCCGAGCTCATTTTCCCCCTTCTTCTCCTTCTTTTTCTCACCTTGCAAATACTAAAAGTGCTTTTTTTTCTCTTGATTTTTTTAAAAAATGTTAGTAGCCCAAAATAGCCTTACTGGTCAAATTGACCAAAGAGAAAAAATGTTAAATATTTTGTAAAATAAAAAAACTAAAAAAAAAAACTTAAAAAAAAAAACAAACCAACAACCCACCCTTGGCGTAATTTTACCCCCCAAATAAGCTCAGTTATTTATTCAGTTTTATACTATAGAGAAACTAAACTCCATGGAGGGGACAGGGAAGGAAAAACCGTGGTGGGCTGTATTGTTTACAGCCTTTTTGGAGTCCCGTAGCCAAGACAACTCTTGTTCCCCATCTCCCCCTTTGCTGTTACAGTTTCTAACGTGTACTGTACGTCTGAATATTGCACAGGTTGCGGAGAAATAGGTGGTTTTATTTTTCACAGCAGAAGCTCACGACGACTCGCTTTCCTTCACGAGTGTTACAATTTCAATATTTACCAAACTTTTCATAATCCCGGGAGCCGGCTGCTTTTTACGACTTTGTGCTGACTTATTGACATTATTTACTGTATAAATAATTTATCATTTGTACTATTGTATCATAATGTCTGTATCTTTGTGTCATTTCCCCCCCCCGCCCCGCCCCCCCCAGCGATGTCACGGATGTGCTATTTAACCAATGCCATCAGAACAGTGGAAAGACACGGGGTTTGTAGGTGACTGGTCAGAATTAAAATTGTATTGCTTATATTCCAGCCGTGTTGCTTTTTCCAAGCCTCTGCGTGGCGTTTCTAACCCCTGTCGCAACCAAACCCCGTCGCCGCCGTGCTCGGGTTTGGTTTTTCCAGGAAGCTGGTGGTGGATTGGTGGAGCTGATTTAAGGCCTGTGGTGCCAGGAGAAATCTCACCGTGACTGAGCGATGCTGCTTTGTACGCTGGCGATGGGATTCCTTGGATGCATCCAGCACTTTCCCGGGACAGGCTGCTCTGGCTGGGAGAGAGGAGGGTTTCTATAGCTCACTGAGCTCGGGATCAGTTGAGACCTTACTAACTCAATAAAAATGAAGACTTGTTGTGTTGCAGGTGACTGAATTCCTTCTTTAAGCCACGTTGCCCCTGAAACAGCTCCACAGCAGTGGAGGGATCATCGGGTGCTGCCTCGCTGGGTTTATGTCCAGGCAGGAATCTGGGGAAGGTGTTTGTGGAATGAGGGTTGGGGAGCTGTGACGGAACTGCCTTGAGGAGCCCTTGCTTCCAATCTTTGTAGCTCAGTCTTGCCCTTCCCGCAGCCTTGGCTCTGTCCCGTGGATCACATGGCCCTGTCTGTGGGGAGCAGGGAGCTGCTTCCAGCCGGGAAGTGATTCCAGCTTCTAATTCTGGCTGGTTTAATTGAAGGGCACTTCATTAGCAGGCGGCGTCAAGAGCTGCCTCTCCAGAGCCCCTCCAGGTTCCCTGGCGTTTGTTTGCTGCCAATCAGGCTGATCACTAATCAATGATCACTCATTAATGCTGAGGCTGCAGAGGGGCTGGAAACCTGACTGCGGGAAAGGTGGCTTTGGGGAGAAAAGCCTCTGTTTTGGTTCCATCCCCGTGGCCCAGAGCTGGCTGGGGGTGCTGGGTAAGCAAGCTCCCATTTCCCTGGAGAACGAGGTCACCTCTGGTCAGGCCTTGGAGTCATTTTGCTTCTGTGTCCAGGCCAGTGAGGAAAACAGGAACGAGGTACCTGTTGGCTTTTGTACCCCTGGTTTTTCCAGAGGGGATGGATTGCTCCCTGCTCCTCACTGGAGGGCTCTGTGTGTGTTTTTATCACTCCTCTGACTGGTCTCTCTCAGCACTTTACTGTTTTACAGCTTTAAACTGACACAGGGCAAGGTTAGATGGGATATTGGGAAGAAATCCTTCCCTGGGAGGGTGGGGAGGCCCTGGCACAGGTTGCCCAGGGAAGCTGTGGCTGCCCCATCCCTGGAAGAGTCCAAGGCCAGGTTGGATGGGGCTTGGAGCAACCTGGGCTAGTGGAAGGTGTCCCTGCCTATGGCAGGGGGTGGGACTGGATGGGCCTTAAGGTCCCTGCCACCCCAAACCATTCTGGGATGTTATGATTCTACTACTGAAATTGCACATTTGAAACTGAAGCTGCTCTCTACAGGGAAAACACAGGAAGGGACCAAAGTGGAAATGTGGTGACTCTCTAACCTCTTCTGAAGGAGTTGGATACCGGCAGAGCCGAGGGGTTGCCGAGCGCTCCTCAGCTGATAAATCCCGTGGTGAGAGGAGATGTGGTGGGTGTGGGGGAGGTTTCTGCTGACCTTGGGCGAGCTGCTCCCCCCTCCCCGTCCCACGTTTCCTCCTGCTCTCCTGTGCAGGGAGGTGGATTTGCTGCTGTGCAGGGGATGAGGACTGTGGATAAGTTGTTATCTCCAGGCTCCTCCTCCGCGCTGCTGTTGCCGAAGTGTTTGTGCTGAGAACGTTCGTGTTGCCCCTTGTTTGTGCTGGGCCGAGTGGTGCAGCTCTGCCCCTTATGCTCTTTTTCATGGAACTGTGAGGAAAGGCCTTGGACCAGCTCGTGCTCTGGCTTTGGCAAGACCCCTGCAGAGCTCCCTGCAGTCTGCATTTCGGGGAACCACCGTGATTGATGCAGCCCCTCACGTTCAAAACTTCCACCTTTTTGTGGTTACCTGTCATCTGCCTCCCAGGTCGTCTCCTCCCCATTTGTGAGTTGGGACGTGAGTGAATATGGATTTCCTAAGGACAGGTGTTTGTTTGGGAGCTCAGGACTGGGAATGGTGAAGAGCCCCTGTTGTACATGGCAGTAGCAGCCCCATCTCTGTTTTGCTGTGGGTTGATTGTACCCTGTAATTGTGGAGGACTTGAGGTTTCAAGGAGTGGGAGGTTCCCCTTGGTGCCACTTCTCATGAGGGCAGTTAATTAACAGCAGTCTGGTGATCAATAGGGAGTTGGAATCCTCCCAGAGTAACCCAGCCCGGTGCTTTGCACAGGGTGAAATAATAAATCATGGATGGGAGAGTGTGGGGAGCCTTGGGGGGGCACAGCACATCCTCTGGCTTTGCAGGGGGGAGCCCAGGGCTGTACCAGACCTGGGTGGAGTTGTGGGACCTTCATGTGTTTGGTAACTATCTCTCTGAGTGATTAGGAAAAATTCCATGGGCAGGGACACCTTCCACTAGCCCAGGTTGCTCCAAGCCCTTGTCCAACCTGGCCTTGGACACTTCCAGGGATGGAGCAGCCACAGCTTCTCTGGACAACTGTGCCAGGGCCTCCCCACCCTCCCAGGGAAGGATTTCTTCCCAATATCCCATCTAACCCTGCCTTCTGTCACTGGGAAGCCATTCCCCCCTGTCCTGTCATTCTAGGCCCTTGTCCAAAGCATTCCATGATCAGCCTGCACTCACTTCCACAGCCTGGATGTGCTGCCTGACCTGTTCCCAGCACTTGTTCAGCAAATATGTTCCTGTTCTCAGGTGAAGGAAAATCAATGACATCTCAAATCGCCCGAATAAAGCTGTAATAGAGGTGGAGTTTGTCTTCCCAGCTCCCTGCCTGCTGCTGCCTGACAGGAAATCTCTCTGGGACATGGGAGCTGCCAGCTTTGCATCTTCATTGCTTAGAGATCCTCCCAGGCAGGAATGGCATCGTGGGTTTCAGCCCTGTTTAACCACTGGAGCTGCTGGAGATTGGATCAGAGCTCCATCCAGCCCGGGGAACTGTTGCTGGAGCAGAGACACTGGATTTCAGACACTGATAAGCTGAGTGATAACCCCGTGGTGAACCCACTCACTCTGCCGGCTGCCCTGGGATCAACACCCAGAGCTGGCTTGGTCAGGGGCTGGAGGAGAACATGCCTGGCTGCTGGAGCAGATGGAGGCAAAGATCCTTCACAGGATGCTGACTCAGCATGGACTTGTCCCACCCGTCCACCCACTAACTCCCGTGGAATTCCCCACAGTGCTGTGGCTGAGCCACCTCTAGGAATGCCGAAGATGGAAAATCATCAGACACCTTCCTTGTCCCCTTCCTGTCCTGGAACCTGTCAAAATCAGGCAGTAGTGGGGTCCATGTTCTTTCTAAAGGGCTTTCTTTTGGCTTGGGAATGAAATTTGGTGGTTTATCCAAGCTCCAGGGGGCCAGTTCTGCCTCGATGGAGCATCCCACGCAGAGCCCTCGGAGCCTGTGGGCTGCCTGGGGTTGTGTTGGGTCATGGTGGTGGTTTTTTTTTTTTTTTTTTATTTTTATTTCTTTTTTTTAATATCTTCATTAGCAAGTCTGGCACTAAATGTAGTGATATTCTCTGAGGTGAATTTGGGTCCTTAAATATCCTGGCCTGAATAGAGGTATAAAAATAGAAGCCTTGCAGCAGTTACGTGCGTCTGCTGCTCTTCCCTCTGAAGGACGAGGCTGAATCCCTCCCATCCTGCTGGGAAAGCAGGTTGTGTTCTGCCCTCCCTCCTGGGGGCTCAGCCCTGGTTTCCATGCCCAGAGGATGGTTCCTAAGGGATTTGTGGCCTGAAGATGGCCAGGCACTGGAAAAGTGTTGTCTCAGGTCCTCCCCACCTGCTGTCCTGTGCTCCCCAGCCCCGGTTACGCTGCAGTGGAGGGTGGTGAGTGCTCTGTAGGGGAGTGGGAGCTCTGGTTTGGGGGTTCTTTTTCTTCCTGTGCTCCAAACGTGGAGGTTGTTCCTGATTTGCAAACACCCACGAGTGTCTCAGCCCTTGGGGTTTGGTCTCACCCGTGTTTGACTCCCAGAGGACTCCTCAGGTGGTGGAACAAAACCCTGGGGGTGTCCTCCTGATGAGAAAGGGAAAGGGGCTGAAATCCCTTGTGGGGTGTGCATGGGGTGGCTTTTGCCCAGCTCTTTGCTGTGCTCCTGCCGAGGGGTTGCATGGCCTGGAAGACATTCCAAAGGGATGTTGTTGGCTGCTGGCGTGCCTGAGCCTCGGGTCTCCAGCTGGGCTGGGTGGTGGTGCAGGAGTGGGGGGTCCTCATGGGGGGCTCAGATCCTCGAGAGTGTCCCAGGGACACCTTGGACATGTCCTGTGTGGGCTCTGCAGAGCCACCTGCCCATCCAGCTGCTGCTCGGTGCCATTGGCACTGCCGGGCCAAAGGGACAGGCCCAGGGTGGGGGTTCCTGCTGGTTCTCCCTGGTGCTGGTGGGTCCTGATGTCCAGGACCCCGCATCTGTTCTGTCCTCCTGAGACCCCAAAGACCTGGATTTATCCTCCTCTATCTCCAGCATCAGGTCCTGGCACGATGCTCCAGTGACCTTGGCATGAACGGCTCATCCTGGGGCTGAAATGCCACAACCCTGAGTAGAGTTGGAGCTGCAGCTCCAATTTCCTTCAAATCTGGCTGCTCTGTGCTTCTCTCTTTTATTTTTCTGACTCTTTTTTTTTTTCCCCCTGCTCCTGACCCGGCACTGCTGCTGGGGGGCAGTCGCTGTCAGCTCTAATCCAGCTCATTTTCAGATGGAGATAATTCCCAGCCGCCGCAGTGCTGGTGGTGTAAAGCAGCCTGGCTGCCCTCGGGGCTCTCCGGCGCTCAGGGATGCTCACATTCCTGGCTCAGTCCCGTTCCCTGTGGCGCCGGGAGGTGTTTGCCCCGTGCTCTCGGGACAAGGGGCAGTGCCAGGGCAGCAGGCACCGCTGCACTAATTTCCATGGAGAACAGGAAAAACGTGGGCGTCCTTCGTTCAGCCTCTCAGCCGATTGTTATTAACCTCCTCCGACACCTTCCTAATGGTTGGAAACTGCCACGAGAGGGCAGGAGCTGATGCTGCTATTCCTAGTTTTGGTAGAAAAGGCTGTAAATAACAGTTCCTAAGGACTATCCCAATGATTTTCCTTTTTCTGGAGGGTTTGGTCCCCGAGCTGCTGTTTGATCCGTGTCCTTGGCTGTTTCCCTCCCAGGGTAAGAGCAGGAAAACCCCCATGGAGTGAGCACGGTCCAAAGCTTCTCCAGGCCAGGGGAGCAAAGGGAGCTGCTGCACAGTCCCCAGATATCTCCCAGCCTTCCTTTGCTTCCAGAGGGTCCCTCTCCGCTTTGGGATGGCTGAAGCCCCTCCCGTGTCAGGACACACGTTCTCAATGAAGGGTTTTTTCCTGCCCATCTCGAATTAGGAGGATAATGTCCAATTTCAGTGCCTGGGAGAGATTTCAGAGTAACAAAACAGGAGCTCCAGCAGCAGCTGAGAGCCTCGTGCCGCCCTCTGTGCCATCCGGGGCTGGGAATTCCAGTCCAGGTTTGAATAGAAGGGAGAATGATTAACCAGGAAACGAGCAGGGTGCTACAGCTGCCTGGAGACGGCTGAGAGGAAATCACTTCAAGCCTCTGCTGCAGCAAGGCTGGGTTTTACTGGGTTCTTCCAACCTTTAACTGCAAGGAACATTTAAAGGTCATTAAGATGTGCTCAAGATGTGTCAAAAAAACCCCCAAAATCCAACTAAACCCAGAGAAAATAAGCAAACCCCCCCCCCTAATAATGCAGGTGGCAGTGTGGGATCTGCTTGTAGAGCATCCTAAATATCTTACAGTGCCTCAAATCCTGGCTTATGGAGTTTAGGATTTTTGCTTTTTTAGATCTTTGCTTTTCACTGCTTTAACCTTTCCAAGGGTCCTGGCAGCTTGGCTGGGAAGGGGAAAGCTGGGTTGGGTCTGGTTGGTCTCAGTGGGGTTAAACGTCCAACAGGAGGAATTCAGGGGGTTGTAGCACCAGGATGCAGAGCTGTGTGTGAATAAATTCGGTGTGTCCTTGTGGGCACTTGGGTTTAACAGGTTCCTTGTGCCTGGGAACTCTGTGGGGCAGTTTTGCTCCAGCTGGAATGGGGGCAGGTAACTGTGCTCAAGGGAAAATGGATGTTCCAGCAGTAGTAGGTTCAGTGTTTGCCTCTGGAGTGTTCCAAACACAGATATTTATCCTGCTACTGTAGCAAACTGCTTCCCAAATACTTCTGAAAAGGAAACAAAATTCCTTTTGCCTCCTCTGAGCCAACAGGAAATATTTATTAATTTGGATTCCAACATGACTCAGTTCAGAGATTACATGAACTGTCAAAACAACTGGTGGAGGAGCTTTACTGGAAGTGTGGAGTCAACAAAAGCAAGACAGGAAAAATGTAAGAGATGAAAAATCATCCTTAACCACATTTGGAAAAGCATTTATACATGGTATCAAAGGTGCTAGTGCTCCCACAGCGATCACATGATGTTTTCAGAAATGATATTTATTCAATCTCACTGCTCAGCATGAAATAAGAACAATCTCTGCCTGGATTCTTTGTCCTGGAGGCTTTGTGGTTCCTCACTGTGTGTTATTACTTGTGTTTCTACAGTTTGAGGTCTTGGTAGTTCACTTCTAGGGTGGTATCCTCACTCTCCCAGGCACCTCCTGGGATTTGCAGTCAAACACAAGAGGCTACATGCCCAAAATTCAATCTGAAGATGACTAAGCAATTAGTCATTCCATTGTTACAAGCACTTCTTTCTCTCCTGTGCCTGTAAGAGCAGAGCCTCGATGATTTAGGGCACAAACAAAAGCCCTGAGCAGCAGAAAGACAAATAAATATATTTAGACAATTGGGTTTATTCAGCCTAAAAGAAATGCTCAGAGGGGGATGCATTTCACTGGACTGTTTTTGGAAGGTGCAATAATTTCAGTTCCCCATTTGTACCACAAAAAACCCCCCAAATTACTAAAAAGAACAGGGTTTGCAATGATTTTTTTAACCACAGGAAAACTCCTGCAACCGTGAACTTTCCATTTCATTATTTATATAAAAAGTGTACAAAAGGCTGTTATAAAAACATTTTGTCCCAGACTGTGAGACAGTCTGATACTGCTCATAAAAATGCTAAATATTATCTGATGGCATTAATTTGCATAATACTTCAACCTGTAACTTACTGAAAGGATTGTACTTGGTAGTTATTCCTAAGCCTCACGGGCTTGTGTTTCTTTTGGAATAATTCTCTCAGTTTAACCAGCTCCCCCTTTCCCTAAAAAGCCACAAAGTGCTCAACTTCTCTGTGAGCCTTTTGAGCACCTCGTGGCACAGTTCAGTACTTGTGGAGCCCTTGTGCCCCAGGCCCCAGGGAGGGGCTCTGCAGGTCACTGGGGGTCACGTCGTAGCCCAACTTCTTCAGGTCCTTGGTCATGATGTTGAAGGAAACAGTCACAAAGCCTTGGGATCTCACCCTCGTCACTGCAAGAGAGATGATGTGAATAAATCCAGGTTTTTGAATGGCTGTTGAGCTCAGATATCCAAGGAGGATCGTTCTCAGCTGCTCTTCCCACCCACAGATGGATGGCCAAGCTTAAGCCAGGACTCACCTTCTCGTCCCTCTCCCTGTGCCACAACTTTGGGGTCAGTAAATTCCGGGCGTCTCCCTGTGAGCCAACTTGGAGAAGAACACAGAAAATAACGAACTGGGTTGTTGAGATTGATCCAGTTCATTACATGCATGCCAAAAACACACAGAGGGGTTGATCAGACTCCCAGCTTTGGTTTGCAGTAGAGTTTGGAAGCTTGATTCACTTTATTACCTACTTCAATCAAAGTTAAATTTTGTCTGTCCAAGGAAAAAAAAACAACCAAAACTAATTTCATGCACATTATGGTGAATCCAGGTTATTTCTGGGATAGACTCTTCCTGTGGCAAAGGAATTGTTGGAACTGATTCACTCCTGATCACCCAGAGAGGCTTTGAATACATAGAAAAATAGACAAATTAGTGTAGGGCCTACAAAAAGGGAATCAGAAAGAGAAGAAATCAGCTGAATCCTGACAACACTGTGCAAGGGAAAAACCTCAATGCCCTCAGTTGCTGTGTACAGACTGCTCTTGGAAGGATATGTGTGTGTGTGTGAACAAGATAAAGGTTACAGCAAATGCATTCCAGATGGGAGAAAAGGTAGAATGGGAATTGTTTTTCCATGTTCTTTGCTTTCCAGGTTGCTTTTAATGTGGCTGTGCTTCAAAAAAATATCCTAAAAAGATTTAGGTAGTAAGTTCAGTACAGTAAACAGGTAGTTAACATGTTTTCAGAAAGCTTTTCAAAATACTTAGACAGCTAAAAATGTGATTTTACCTACAAACCACAAAACTACCTGGTTATGGTACAGAATATTCACGTCTGCACCAGTGATTTGCTGGACATGCCTTTGTGACCAAGGGCAAGAAGGACTTTAAAAACATAAACTCATTAATTATTACCTTGTAAACTGCTGCAGCCTCGATGTGGACTCTGGAACAAACATAGCAATGGTTCTTCTGTGCCTGAAGCAAAAAGAGACCCAGAGAACTTCAGAAATGGAGCAAACAGCAAGGGTTTTTATATTTATAGAGGCACCAGAATTTCAGACACATCAGAACACTGAACATCTAGAGGTGGGATACTTTTTCTTCCGAGAAAGAAGGGTTTGTTTCCATAGGAACAGTGTATATTCCTCCATTTCCAGAGGTGGGAACGAAAGCTTACTGAGTGCTGAGAGTGATGGGGGAGAGGCAATTTACTGTGCTTCATATCTGAGCTTTTTACAGGCCAGTTTGGGCTTTACAGGTGTTCACAGGACTAACAAAAATTACTTAATGGTCAGAGGCTTCTAAAAAATCCAAGCCCTTTGTACCATGTGGACAAGGCATGACGAGGAGACACGGGAGCATTTTTGTTTCTGAAACAACAGAGTAACTGGAACAAAAATCTGTTTCAGTCCTGAAGACAGGTTGTCACTCACCTTCCAGGCGTGAAGGGCACGTGAACAGCTCCATAACCTCTGACCACGTCGTGTCCAAAGAAGTCAGGCCCGTAAACGCTCAGCACAATCTGTGGCCCTGCAAGGAAGGGGGTGTGAGAGGAGGGGCTGGTCTAGGGGCTGGAAATCCCCCCCCCAGCACTCACAGCCAAAAGGGTTGGTGCTCTTGAAGGTGATGTCGATGGGGAAGTTCCACACGAGCGTGGTGGGCGAGACGTCGCTCTTGGAGGTGATCTGGGAGATTCCCTCCTCCAGACCCTGCGGGGGGAAGGTGGAGTCAGCTGGGGGCTGAGGGGGACCTGGCAGCCCCCAGGATGGGGGTCCGGGGGGCACAGTGGGGCTGTACCGCGGTGGGAACCCAGTCCTGGCCGTAGACGAAGCAGAACTTGCAGTAGAGGTCGTCAAATCCAGGGAACTGTGGGAGAGAGGGAGGTGTCAGTGGGGATTTCTGGAGTGAGGGTCTGCCTAAGGAACAGTGCTGAGGGCAGAGCTGAGGGCCAGGGTTTGGGGGGGCTGAGACCAGGCAGGGTTAGGAGGGGCTGAGGACAGACTGGGTTTGAGGGAGCTGAGACTGGGATGGGTCAAGGGGCTGAGGCCAGGCAGCCTCAGGGGGGCTGAGATTGGGCTGGTTTAGGGGGTGCTGAGGCTGGGCTGGGTTCAGGGGGCTGAGGACAGGCTTGGTCAGGGGGGGATTGAGACTGGGATAGGTCCAGGGGCCGAGGCCGGGCTGGTCAGGGGGACTTAGCACTGGTTGGGTTTGGGGGGGCTGAGGCCGGGCAGGCTTAGACGGGCTGAGGTTGAGCTGAGTTAGGAAGGGCTGAGACTGAGCTGAGTTACGGGGTGTTGTAGCCAAGGTGGGTTCGGCTGGGTTGGGGAGGCGGCTGAAGCCGGGCAGGGTCCGGGGGCAGAATCTCATCCCGCCGGGCGGACACGGGACCGAGGACCTGTCTCCGCGCTGTCGGTGCCGGGGGCCTGTCCCGCATCCCGGGGGTGTCCCAGGGGTGTCCCCGGTGTGTCACCCACTTGCCCGCTCTCGATCTCCCGCGGTCTCACCCACCTGCCCGCTCTCGATCTCGCCGCTCACGGCCAGCAGGAACACGCTGGGCGCCGCCATGGCGGCCGCGCCCGTTGCCATGGGGACGGACGGGGCGGCGCGGCGGACACGCTTCCCCCGCGCCCCGCTTCGCTTCGCGGGGCTCCCGCTCCCCAAAACCTCCCCAAAATGCGGTCAGACCACCCCCGTCACCCCCGGGACAGCCCTGTGTCACTCGGGACAGCACTGCTGCCCTCAGCACGGCTGGCCCGCAGCCCCTCAGCCCTTGGCCGCCCCGCCGCCCGCTCCCCCTTTATGCTCGCACCGCCCCACATTTAGAATTCCTGGCGTTATTTTTTATTTAGTATCAAGGTCTGTTGATATTTTTTATTTAATATCGATGTCTGTATCAGCGCCAGCCTTCCCAGCAGCTGGTCCCAAGCCTGTCAGAGTCCAAGGAGTGCTTGGACGATGCTCTCGGGCACATGGTGGGATTTTGGGGTGTCCTGTGCAGGGCCAGGAGTTGGACTCTGTGATCCTTGTGGGTCCCTTCCAGCTCAGGGTATTCCATGATTCCGTGGTGTCGAGGCCGTGGCCACTAGATGATGCTGCTGGCCGAGCTGAAGCAGCTCCGGCTCCTGGGCGAGGGCCAGAGCCACGGGGTGTTTCCAGGGAGGAAAAGTGGGAATAGTGATGAATTTTGTGGTCTCCAGAGGGTCAGTCTGCGAGCCAAGCTGATGAGGAGAGGAGGAGGCCAGTGGGGCTGTTAGTGTCCACAGCATGGTGATTATTCCTTATGGATATAAGCATAAACGCCTCTGTAATTCTGGGGTCTGGATGAGGCTGCCACGCTGCGGAAGGGAAGGGGAGGAAAACGGGATGAGGTTGGTTTAATGAGAACGTACTAAATAAAAGGAAGGAGGTGAGTTTGGTGTGTAAACAAGGTGGACGAATCCGCTGAGGCTTTGCAGAGCTGGAACCGCCAAAATCTGCTGCCCGGAACTTCTTGTTTCCCTGCAGGGACCACAACGTGACGGTGCTGGGCTGGTGACATGATGGTGATGTGACAGTGCTGGCCCTTTGGGACCGTGGTCGTGCCACTGCTCCTGCCAGGAATCTTTGCTGCCCACACTCACGTCAGCGCCACGGAGACTCAGCAACCCGGCCACCATCTGCCGTGCTTCATCCCTTCGCCTCCTTTCTCCATCCCACACCACGTTCCCCTCGCTGTGAGGAATTTGTGGGGCGTTTGGTTGCTGCCAGACCCTCTGGGGAAGGACGGGAGGAAAGAAGGAAGCCCTGGCTCGGCGCCTGTTTGGGTTTCCCACTGTAGCCAGTCGGAGCCCTTTCACAGATGGGCTGAGCAGAGATTTATGGCCTCAGTCCTCGTCCTCATCCGCTGTCTCCTTTTTCCCTCCCTTTGGCATACTGGTGGAGGTGGCTGTGCTGCTTTGGCTCCCTGCAGTGCCACACCATGGGCTATTCATTGCAGTCTTTCCCTAAGGAAAGGCACCAAGACAACCTTTTCTGCTGAAAGGGGTGCTGTGCATAAATACTGATGGCCCTGCCCATGGCAGGGGGTGAATGAGATGATTTTTAAGGTCCCTTCCAACCCAAACCACTCTGGGATTCTATATTGGACTGAAAGTAAACTACCATTACACTTCATGCTGAAAAATACCTTCCATGTTCCAATAACTGTATTCTCTGTCAGTATCTATCTCAACTCGATTTTTCAGGCCAAACAAATTTGACCAAGAGAAGAATGGAAGAGAAAAGAAGGAGAGATGGGAGGGAATGCCTGAAATTTTATCCTTTCTCCCCTGCCCTTCAGAAATGCTTCAGAGAAAATTCATTTGAACTGAAAATTATCAGGGGGGGAAATAAAGCAGTTTTGGAGCATCTGTCTGGAGCAGTTAGTGAGGCTGTTTAATTAACACTGCATTTGGCTACCAGCTACCTTGGAGCTTGCTAAGAGCCAATTTAAGGAATTTTTTTGTTGCCTGGCAAGTGATATACAGGTGCTGGAGGAATTCTATCAGCACTGGGAGACCTTCCCCATGACAGAGGGACAGCAGGAGGCTTTTTCAGCAGCCGTGAGTCATCTGTACCTGCCTCTGGAAGGGCTCTGTCCCCTCCCAGCCATAACAAGACCTTTTAGTCTTTCCTCCCTTGCACGCCCGCCTTGTTCTAATTGTCTGCACTTTTAATCTTCATGAGCAGAACGAAATCCCAAGCAAGGAAGTGTTTTTATCCTGCTGGAAAACTTAATTAACGATCCATCAGAGAGTTTGGTTTCCAAGCATAATGAAATCCTGTGGATCACGGCGACTCCACGGGTGTCATTTAACGAGGCTGCCACATAAAACATTCACCTCTTCTCCTGGACTTGTCCTGATCCTGTGATTTGTGATGGGACTAACGGGAAGCCTCACAGGGAGGAAGGACATGTGCCTGGTGATCACTGACTTGTCATCTCTCGCAGGTGCTGTGTCCAGGTTGGATCCCAGCTCCAGAAGAACCATTCCTGGTGTCCCTTTAGCACTGACCCCCGTGCCGAAGGCACGTCAAGAAGCTGAGGGATTTATGTTTTCTTCATTCCCAGAAAGAGCCAGGGGTTGGAAAGATCCAAACTGCTTGGAGCTCTGTCACTGAGAGCTTCTGAATCAAGCTCTGTACCATGAGCTGAACAGGCTGCCTGGCTCTGGGTCCATGGGCTCCCAGAGAACTCTTGGAGTGTCTGCGTGCCGATTTCCTAGGGATTGCCTCCACACTTGTGTGAGTGGGAATTGAGCCCTGGGGAATGAGAGAGCAACGGGGGGCTTCCCTTCTCCTGGGAAAAGCTGCCAGGCAGCTGGGATAGGGATACCTGGGGGCTGGATCTCCTGCTGTGCCCATTGCCCATCACCCTGGCTCTGGGCTCCTGCAGTATAACTGCAGCAGCAGCAGCAGATCCCTGTGCTGCTGCCTGGGAAAGGGAGTGGATGGACATCCTGTGCTGCAGGGAGGTAGCAGGAAGCAGGTACTTTGTCTCCCTTACCTGTTCAACTCTGATTACAGCAGCCTCAGGGCTGATCCATCGCTGCCAACAGGAGCTTAGGGAAGGCGGGAGAGACACAAACAAAAATACAGTGGCACGGCAAACAGAAGTTTATTTTTAATTCCAAATATTTATGATCAACACCTGCTAAATGGCCAGTGAAATACATTTTATGGCATCATTTATCTGCAATAAACCGGTTTTATTTTTAGACTGTTTGCACAACGTTGACTCATCCCTGCCTGTGCTTTCTCCCTGCGAGGAGGCTGCAGGGAGCTTCCCTGCCCTTTGTCTTCCCTGCCTTTTGCTCCTGCACTCAGAGCTTTTCCCTCTTGCCGCTCAGATCAAATGGCATGGAAGGAAGGGGACATTCCTGCTGAATTCTTGCTGAATAAATGTAATTTAACATTCAAATGTAATGTAACATTCAAAGGTTTAGTTTGTGGGAAGGCATCTGGGTGAAGACAGATGTGTTACGTGTCTAAATCATGGAATGGTTTGGGTTGGAAGGGACTTAAAAGTGCCTCTCATTTCATCCCCTGCCATGGGCAGGGGCACCTTCCACCAGACCAGGTTGCTCCAAGCCTTGTCCAACCTGGCCTTGAGCACTTCCAGGGATGGTCCAGCTCTGCCCCCACGTCCAGTCCTGTGCCAGGCAGGGCCCTGCTGGGTACGGGAGATGTCGCTGCCAAGGAGCTGCGAAGTGTCTGGTCTTCCATGAGGAATTAATTTGACTGGAACTTGTTATCATGGGTGAGATTTTTATTTTGGTTAATGAGCAAAATTAATTAGTAGCTTGGTCTGAGCCAGTCAGAATAAATTGACAAGCAGGCAGGAAGGGGGAAGAGGATGAGGAGGACCCCAGGAGCTGGTTCCCAGCAGGGTCATTGGATTTGATAAGGGCATGAGGAGTAACCAAGCTCTGGGGAAAAGAGGGGAAAGAGCATGAAGTCATCCTGCTTATCAGCTGCCCACTCTGGTGGTGACTGCATTTTCTGGGGATAACTCAGGTGGGAGAGCTGTTCTCTGTGCATCTGACAAACCTTGGGGATGTCTCCACGGGCAGCTTGTGCCTCTGCGTGGGGAAAAGTGGAATCAACAATAAGCTGCTCCAGGGGATTTCAATCAAATGTTCAAATAATTAATCTGGTTTCTTCCCTGTGGTGTGACAAAATGAGAGTTGTTAGCATTTTCTCCCTTCCATCATTAACAGATTTTTTTTCTCACTGGATAGTCCAGTGGCCACAGCTGGAAAAAACAACCCAACCCTGACATACAAGTGAGTCACACAAGTCCTGGCATGAGGGACAGCCTAAGGTGGGGATGAAACCCTCCTGGTGACACCTCTGTGTGCATCAATGTCAAACCAGGGCATCATGGAATAGAATCAGAATATCTTGAGCCGGAAGTGACCTACAAGGATCATCAAGTGGTGCCAAAACCCACGGAGTGCATCAGTGCCACCGCACATCCCTCATTCCAGAGAAAACCCTCTGCACCCTCCCAGCCTCCCAGTGGAGCTGACCCCATGGAAAGGGCTAAAACCCATCGTGGGAGAGGCAGAACTGCCTGTGGCAACACCATTCTGCTGGAAGAGGACGGAGCACCCACCTGGCATGAGCTGGAGTTATTCCAGGGGCACGGCGGGGTTCCAGCACAGAGACACGTTGAGCTGCTTAAAAACCAAGGAGTGACAAAGATTTCCCCTCAGCCCATGCTGTGGCTCTGTCAGGCTGTGCTAAAATTCCTAATTAAGTGCTCTTGTCTGGAAGATGAGCGGCCTCAGCCGTTAAAACACAGCCACAGCATTGAAAGCTTAAAAGGGGAAGTTTAATGGATAAAGTCAATTTAATTATTTATCCTAAGAAAGCTTGTACAAATATCAAATGCTTATTAGCATTCATGCAACCTGTCTGATCTCGCAGCACAGACAGATTAAGGGTTGGGGCTAATTTGGAGTCACATTCGGTTGTTGGTGATTTTTAAGGCTTTTCTTTTTTTTTCTCCCCAGCACAACAAAGAGAATTTCAGATTGAGAAATACCCTTGAAGCAGAGCCCCTGTGAAGGCTCTTTGTGATGGTTTCCTCTGCCCCTTCCTCAACGTGGTGGTTTTTAATCCCTGTTTGATCCCCACTCCTCGAGGCGGCTCCGAGCAAGCCCAGATGGACTCGGCGCCCATCCCTGAGGGCTGTGGGTTTGCTGGAACGGAGAGTGGTGGGGCAGAGTCTGGCTGATAAATGGACATGACTAAATTGTCATTAAAAATGCAAAATAGGCATCGATCCAATTAAATAATCATGACTTGCATTTGCCCGGTGCTTTTCACTTCCGATCTTAAGCAAGGCTTGCAGAGAGCCCGGGGGAAATTGCTTAATGCTGCAGAGATTTAATCAGCAAGAAAATTAACTCTGGGTGATGTTAAATGGGTTCTCTGTGCTGGTCATGGCCAGGTCTGGGCTGAGGATGCAGCTCTGAGGATTTTGCACCTGCATGTCCAGGTGAGTGTCCCCAAAAGAGATGTCAGGGAGAATTTCACGGTCACTGTCTGCTCTTAGAACGTTCAGTTGGAGCTTGGTTCTCCCCACACTGCTGGAATGTTCCTGCAGGCTCGTGGATGGAGTAGTTTTGGGTCCTGCTGAGCTTTGTGGGGTTTGGGAATGTGTGGCTTTGTCAAAAGGCACAGGACTTGGTGTGAGCCTGGGCAGAGCCAGGACCAGTGGCCATGGGAGCAAATATCCCAACTCATTCCTGACACACTGCTGTGGCCTCAAGCCCTTCCAACTTGGTCTACAACCACCTCTCCATCACCAAGATCAGCCTCCAGCCCCGTGGTGAGAGGCTTTTCCTCCAGCTCTGTGGCACCATGAAGGGAATTCAGGCACTGGGGACGTTTCCTTTCCCAGCAAAGCTAAATAATCCCAGCAAGAAATAACACCCTGAGTGTCCCCCCTCTGCCCAGGGACACACTGGGGCATCCCACACACCTCCAGGCAGCATTCGGGGGGATTCACCTTCCCTCCTTCCTCTCTGCTCCTTAAACTGCAACAAAAGGAGTTTCCCACCGTCCCCAAAGTGCTCTTAATAATGACTTTTATGACTCTTTCCTGGAATTCCTCACTATCCCACTGAGACAGAATCATTATTTACAATAATCCTAAATGACTCCTAATTACAGCGGCGCAGGTGCTCAGAGGCACAAAGCTGGATTAACAGATGGAGGCCCCTGTGTGAGCTGAGGGATCCTCCGAGTTGGGAGCGGCCCCAAACACCAGCAGGGATGGTCCAGACTGGAATCTGCAGCCCCAACGGCCACGTTGAGGCAAGAGGCTTTAGGGAATGCCGAGCTCTGGGAGCGGGATGGAGACCTCGGGCATCTCTGCGGCACAAAGTCAGGCCATGCTTCCAGTTTATACAGTTTAATAGATGTGAAACAAGATACATTTCCTTTTGAGTAATGAATGCATAAATAACAGAAGATATATGTGAATGCATAAATATGAGGCGGCACGGAACGAACCAAACGAAAACCACTGGTTTCATTTATCCCCCCCCCCGGATGTCTGTGCCCTGACCTGCTGGCACATCCTCGCCACGGACTCACTCATTCCTGCTCTTCTTTTCCATCAGCTTCCCATGGTGAAGCTGTGCCATGGGGAGAGGGCCTGGAGGAGGGGTGGGGAAGGGGCAGGGACCGGAGGCTAAAAAAGAAAAATCAACCCCAAAACTGCAAAAAAACCCCCGAAAGTGGTGTTAACAGTGACCTGGATTCCTCTAAAGGCTTCTCAGTCGGCGCTAGAAGGGCCTTGGGAAGGGGATGTGTCCGGGTGTGGGTGCAGGGATGAGGAGGGAAGACCAACAGGGAGTGCAAACGGGGGGGTCACGGCTGCCCCCAGGGTTTGATTGAAATTGTTCTGCCACAAGGACAAATCATCACCTTAAATGCTCACAAAGAACTTACCTAAGACAGTTCTTTACACCTTTACATACTGTATCAATAATTTACTTAGAACTGCAGTAAACAAAATACATTTCTTAAATAATTTACTATTTATTTGTTTTCTTTTTTTTAATCACTCTGT